AGCTGAGAGGAAGAGGGAAGATGTAGAAAAGCAAATACTGGTAGATTTACAATTGTCTTATATTAGACAAAGGTGCCAAAAACATACACTGGAGAAAAGATAGCATCTTCAACAAATGGTGCTGGGAAAACTGGAAATCCATGTGCAACAAAATGAAATTGAATCCCTATCTCTCACCATGCACAACACTTAACTCAAAATGGATCAAGGACCTAGGAATTAAATCAGAGACTCTGCGTCTAATAGAAGAAAAAGTAGGCCCTAATCTTCATCATGTGGGATTAGGCCCCAACTTCCTTAATAAAACTCCTATAGCACAAGAATTAAAAACAAGAATCAATAAATGGGATGGATTCAAACTAAAAAGTTTTTTTTTTTTTTTTCCTCAGCAAAAGAAACAATCTGTGAGGTGAATAGGGAGCCTACATCCTGGGAGCAAATTTTTACCCCTCACACATCAGATAGAGCACTAATCTCTAGGGAATATAAAGAACTCAAGAAGCTAAGCACCAAAAAGACAAATAACTCAATCAATAAATGGGCCAAGGACCTGAATAGACACTTCTCAGAAGAGGATACACAATCAATCAACAAATATATGAGAAAATGCTCATCATCTCTAGCAATCAGAGAAATGCAAATCAAAACTAGACTGGGAATTGATTACATGTTTCAATGAATCAACAGTTGGGGATGTCTGCCTTGCTTGAGAGTGAAGTCTGCTCAGACCTGCCCTTTTCATTAAGCCTTACCTCAAGAAGGTTGGTTGGAAACTCTAGGTGTTGTTATTACTTTTTAATTCACAAAACTAGAGAACAGACTCATTAATTTCAAAAACTATATCCACAATGTAAACTAAACATTAGCAAATGTTTCTGATAGTGGAAAGACACTGCTTCAGCCACACCAAGCTGTGAGCTTCCCTGAGGCAGGTAGGAGTGTGTGTGTATGTGTGTGTGTATACACGCATGTGCGCGTCTGTGCTTTGCCTTGGAAGTTGAACCATATAAATCTTATATCAATACTAGACACTGTGGCCATGGGGAGATGTGACTGAAGTTAGTCACACATTTTGTATTTACTGCCTTATTTAAGAAAAGTTCTATGCAACCCGTTTTGATTCTGAAAGAACACAAATAGTTCTGCCTTCCGTGAAAATGATACACACAGTATTTGAATATCAGTGTTTTGCTGATTTTGTCATTACTTGGTGCTCTGTGTTTTCACATAAAAGTTATGGTTTGCTAAGTTAATAATGATAAATTCATCCCACATAAGACATCAGAAGTGTTCTGAGGCATAAAACTTAAAATACTTTGATCCCTTATATTTCAGTGGAATAACAGTAGAAATGGAGAAGGCTTCAAGGAGTAAGAAAAGCATCACAGTTGTTTAAATGTGTCCTTTTCTGCAACTCCTGGAAATGCTGTGCTGGAAAGACCCATTTAAGGCTATAATTTTTGTATCTAGACACATTTCACATGACCTCTTCTAGATAGTGTGCTATTAGCTATCCAAATACATTTTAAAAGTTTACTGGAAAAGATTCTGTGACTTCAGTAACTTATTTCAGTTCTTATAGCATCCAGAGGAGCCAGAATTATAATTAAGTTCAGCTTAAATACTTGGTTCTGCAATTTAAACTCTTTGGTATTTGTTAAATGCAGAAGAAAATGGGTCTTCGTCCCCTGAAAAAATAATGCCATGATTGCTTCAAAATAGCAGCGAATCATGTATTAACATCTCTCTGTTATCTTCATCATCTTCATCTTTTTCCTCTATGTATTTGCTCCTATCACATTGCTTCTTTAATCTTTAGAATTAGTATCTAGGTTTCTAATCCTTTTTATAATTTTTATAAAATTATATTAAATTTCTATTGTGTTCCAATTTTTCATTAAGTCTACTTAAGTCTCAGAGTGGAAAGTAAGCAGATTATTCTGAGGATAATAATTGTTTTTATTGTTGGATGATGGTAGATACACTTTCATATGTGTGCCATATTATTGTGCAACCTGGAGGAGGTTGCTTTGCTTCTCTGAGTCTCTGTTTCTGTGACCATAATCTCAGGTGTACTGTAGGAGTTAAATTGGAGTGTGGAACTCCCTTGGCTGTATGGTAACCTCACCAATGACTTTTTTTTTTCCTGTTCTGGTAACTACCTCCAATAGTGTCTTGTTTTTTTAAGACATGATTCTCTTGACTTTTAATCACAGGATTGTTTCTAGATTTTATTGTTTCACATTTGTCAAAAATAAAAAATTAATCTATAAAAAAGAAAGACACCAACCTGAGAATGGCAAATGTCTTGGTGGTGGAGAATCTCAGCCCATTCTAGACCAGGCAAAGCAGAAATTTCAGTATTTCTCTTGGAAAACACATGGATTCTGGCACCTGGAATTTAAATAATTGTTTGTCTCCTTTTCTTATCAGTTATCCCCCCTCCATGAAACCATCTCAAACTATGCTATTGAACAAGTGTTAAACCATATTATCTCGGATTCAGAATTCGTCTAATAGACCTGGTAATGAATATGAGAAAATGCCAAACTGCCAAGAACAAGAAGGATCCTAAACTTTTACTTGCTTTTTAATTGTTGTTTGCATTGAAGCTTGTCAGTTTAATGTGCTTCTTTTATACCATTATGTGATCTTTGAGGATGTGGTCTCCAAATTGTGGTAAACCGTTTTTTTTTTTTTTTTTTGCCATTTTTATTCCTTAAACTTGCTATGAATAGAAGCTGATAATATTTTTGAACTTTACCTATGTAACTTTCACTTTTATGGAATCGATTTTGAACACTGAGTTAAGCCATCTACCATTCTTTACCCAATATTTGCTTTAATTTTGTTTTCTTTTTCCCCTTACACCCAGGGTCCAGGTCTCATTGTCCAGATTTAAGAAGGAGGAATGTCAGCCAGAAGCAAGTTCTGAAAATCTGAAGAGACTTATTTTTGTTGCATTCCTTAGGAGACATAAGGCACAAGTGCCTCAAACTGAGGCAGATGGTTCTCACCAGTGCCCTGGCATAACGTTCCATCCAGGTAGATTGGAAGCATTACCTTCTCTTTACTCCAACCATCTGAGTCTTCTTAGAATGTCACAATTTTCTCCTAGGAGAGTATTCCAAGGAACCAAATAAACATAAATGATCGAAAGTGTCCAGTCTGTCTGCCCTGACCTCACCAGCACCTTATCCACCCAGAATGATCCTGAGCCCCATGATACTTCCCTCTGTCTGGGAGGATGCAGAAAAGGTATCAGCTAGAAGAAAAATATAAAATACCGTTAAAAATTCATATGCAAGCCATTTCTACATCATATTCCTTAGTAACTCTTCATTATGGAGATTCAGCTTTTACCAAATGGCAAAGGAAGTATTCATTTATTTATTGCCAGTTTTATTATAACAATGGTACACTTCTTGTGTTTTAATATATACTGTTTAAAATGTATAACACATCAAGTCAAAGAACAGTTTAATTGTTTTTCTGTTTAAAACAACTTTTATTTTTGGTGAAAAAATGCAAATACATTTTATACAGAAAATAAACATTTAGGTCATCATAAAGACCAATAATATTTTTAAAATTAAAAACATTTAATTTCAATTTTTCTCTTGATAAACTTTACTATGATGATCTGGTTTTCTCTGCACCTTAATAATGCTTTCTGTGTTGGGGTTTAATAGGCAAAGTTATATTGAATATACCTTTGAGCTTTAAATAAGCATTATGATTGCTAATTTGACCCTCATGCATAAACAGAGTCACTAGTGCATACTCTTAATCCCAGAGTCAGCTTCCACTGGGAAGCAAGAAGCTCAAGAAGTGCAACTTCTCAACTCTCAGCAGGATGCTCCACAGGATCCAGCTCTTCTCATTTCAAGACCTGCACAGTAAAAGCCTCAGTGCAGCAGCGGCTTGACGGGGAGGCTCAGGCTGCCTGCACTTCTGCTTCTGGTCTATTCTATCACTGGCCTTCCTGGTGGTCATGGTGCCAAGGAGAGGGATGAAAAATAGGGATAGCAGCATTGAGGGCTTAGCTTTCCTGTGGGTGTTCTCAGACTGTACCCTTGTAGATTAAACCATAAACACTTGGTTAGTTTACAGTGCATCTGGACAAAAGTATGTAGGTTTTATTATAACCAAAAAAACCCCAGGAAAATTAAAAACTGTATTTTATATACAGTTAGAAATAATGAAGTTGAACAATGACCCTGTAAAGATTCCGTTTAAACCATAACATGGGGAAGCAGGTGAGGTAGGGTGTTCTCTGTGGGGTAAAGGGGTAATATCTTGAACGAATAGAAATGACTGGAAGAACACCATTACCATGAGGGTAACATATGTAAAATATATTCTACACTTTCTCTCACCTAACATTGCTACACTCAAGTATTAAATTGTGGTAGCTGTTAAATTTAGAAGCGATGGTTAAAAAAATAGTTTACATATAATCCCACCTCCACTTCCTTTTTTTTTTTACTAGAAAAGCACGTCACTAATCATTTTCCTGAAATTCTGTTTATAATACATATTCATAAATTTCACCTTGTGTTATTCTAGTTCATAGCTCCTTTTGCTTATAAGAAAAGCTGTGTTTTGTATTTCCACAAAGTCTGTAGACACTGTTTACATAACATCACTCTATGTCATATGTAAATTATACCTACCTAGTGACACTTTCTAAAGAAGGACCCATTTTAAAGATTAACACAGGATTTACTACTGAGAAGTATTTAGGAGGGAGTTCAATGTAAAGTATTTTTTTTGATAGATTCTTTCAAGAATACAAAAATACACAAAATATTATTTACACTAGACTAGAATTTCTTAAACATTCTATGATGTTTCTATTTCAAAACTGTCTTAGTGTGAGCATATGTGGAATTTGTAGATGTAGCAAGTTGAATGCATAAGCCCACAGCCCGTTAGCTTGAGCAAAAGATGCATACTAATGGTTTCCCAGCACCAAAAAGACAGAAAAAAAACTTAACTGAAGTTATTTCTTTTATTCTGAGCAGCTCAAAATGCTTTGGCAAATGCCTCGAGATTCTGAAGTCATTAGTAATAATGTTCTTATATCATTAGTAATGATATAAGAAAAGGCAACAGAGACAAGAATCAGGACTCTTGACTCCAAGTGCTAATCCAGTGAACCACATTTCTGTTCAAAGTGATAAACACCTTTCTTTGGCAATGCAAGCATATACATTTAAAAGTGTTTAGGAAAATTTCCCACCCAATATGATCATAAGATTTTTGAAAAACATAAATGTTTACCACAATTTGAAAAATATTCCAGAATTAGGAGTGATGACACATCCTATTTGAGGAACGAACCAGAATATTTAAATTATAATCATGAACAGTTTATCAGAGTATCCAATAAATGCTAAATTCACACAATGTAGAGAGGTTTGCTGCTATTTTAAGAAATTTGGTCCAAATACTCAGATTCTTCCAGAACGTTATTCTGTTATGTGCTGATCATAGGTGGGAGCAAGGATTTTCTGTATAGAGCATATTGCATGACTCCCGTAGCTCCGTTGGGACAGCTATGTTGCCAGGAACACTGGAAAGGGGACAAATCACCCTTTCTGTCACTATTACATTTTGTGTGAGAAGTGGATCAAAGATTGCAGTGGTAGGTTGCACAAAGGATCCAGAAGCAGAGTAAGACTCCTTTACCAAATAGTTACCATGCTGCAGAGGGTCATGGATGGAAATGGCTGGTTGGACAGACCCAGAAGCGGACCAAGCAGAAACCCCTTGGCTACCAGACAGAGTCTGGCACCTGTCAAATCCTGGCTGCTGGACTTCCATGGTGCCACCACAGGAGTCAATGCCAGAACCCTTGTCTTTAGAGCATGGCTGAGCTTGTTTGGCTTCATCATCAATACCGAGGCTTATCTCTGCAAGTTTTTTAAATTTGGGGCCGAGGGAGTCCAAGAAACTGTCATCCAGATCATCAGCAATAAAACTGCAACAACCCAGGGAACCTATGGGAGAACCCGGGGCATCATCCACGCCTTCATTATCATAGATCAACAAACAGTCATTTGCTTCCTGGATGTCTTCTTCCTCTGCACAGGCAAATGCTTTCTAAAGATGGAGAGGGAGAGAAAAAGACTTCTTAAAAAAAAGAAGAAGAAGAATTTTAAGGAAGATTCTTGAACAATCTATAACTGTTCACAGAACTCTAGGTTGGATTATGACTGCCCAAATTTGGTAATCCATAGAAGTTAAGAAATGTTTTTATATGAACAATATTATTATAGAAATTATCTGGGATTTGGATAATAACAGGGTTGACATTCCGTCAACATTGAGTCTAGCTTGGGCTTATGTTTTAGTTCTCAACTTTAAAGGCACTTGCAAGGATTTAGGTCTACCATAGCAGATCTGTATGATGTCTGGAGGTTATCACCTGACTTCAAGTGAGGGCTTTGTGGATGCTTGTCTGTGTTGGGGTGGTGGCAGTGGAGGTCTCCTACTGTGCATGGAGACAGTGCTCACCCTGACAGAAGCACAGATTCTACAATCCTTGCAGGAGGCTGACTTATAAATAAAATAAAAATACTCTAAAGTGTCCTTACTCAAAATAAGCACTTCCTGCCAACCTTGCCTCAAATATAGTGTCAGTCTTGCTGGGCATGGTGACACATGCCTGTAATCCCAGTGGCTCAGGAGGCTGAAGCAGGAGGATAGCCAGTTCAAAGCCAGCCTCAGCAACGGGAAGGCACTAAGCAGCTCAGTGAGACCCTGTCTCTAAATAAAATGTAAAATAGGACTGGGGATGTGGCTTAGTGGTTGAGTGCCCCTGAGTTCAATGCCAGGTACCCCTCCCCCCGCAAAAATATATATAGTGTCAGCCTTTATCTGCTATCAGAATCTATCACGGTTCTGGTATCAAAAATCTAGGGGTAGGTTCCATCTAAACATGCCTCTTATCCATTAGCCTATGGTTACTGTTGGGGGCGCCCTGCACATGAGCAAAGCACCCCGCCTCAGCCTTGGGTAAAGGGGGTATTGGACTGGCATCACATGCCACACACTGTGCGAAGCAAGTGGCCTTTACTTCCGATAGGCGAGGAAATGCCTCAGCTCTGGGCTTGAGAGTTACCCAATGGGATTGGGCAAACCCCCTTTTGAAACACTATCCCCTGCCTTATTTGGGTGGAATATTCTACCGAATGTCTTTTCCCTAATAAATAGAGGGGTTCCAGGTGCACTTGCTCCCTTTCCAGCACCATCCACCATGGAAGCTGACCCTTAAGGTCGCAGAACAGTCCCACCTCGGCCTGAGAAACTCATGTCCATGTGTTGCATGATTTCTTCTCTGTTTTCTTAGTGTTGCAGCCTGCTCCTCTGAACCCAGTTCATCTTGACAGCGCAGGCAGTTGGTGAGAGGTTACCAAACCAGGGGTAAGCAACCCACCCCCCAAAGCCCTCTCTGTTCCAGCACTCTTGTCCCTTTTCTTTCTTTTTTTTTTTTCCCCTTTTCAATGCTTTATTCACTCAAATCACTCAATACAATTTCACTCTATAGGTTCTTAATCAAGAAAACGGCAATCCTTACTGCTAGGCATTGCAGTAGACATAATCAATTCACAGAAAACGATCTGAGATTAATTCTAAGCACAGCAAAACACACTTAATCATCATCTTTCCAGACATTGATTCCTCCCACCACTGATCTTCAATTCCATTCTTTCCTCTCCTTTGACTTTTGGGTCATTAATTCAGTGGTCATTCAACTCTTCTTTTTTTTTATAATTTTTTTTTTTTTAGTTATTGATGGACCTTTATTTTATTCATTTTATTTATATGTGGTGCTGAGAATTGTGAGGCAAGTGCTCTGCTACTGAGCCATAACTCCAGCCCTGCCGTTCAACTCTTTTGGCCATGGATTTCTTTGAAGAAATGCAAAGAGTACTATCAATCACTCTCAGGAAAATATATGTGCACATGTCTCAGCATGCTTTGTGGTACAGAAAAAGCAAAGCAAACTGCTTTGTATTCAGTGCTGGCATTCTCAAAATGAGAAAGAGTTTTGCCTTTCATTGTCTTTCCAGTTGGGAAAGGAGGGGACACTTGCCATATTTTCTTGGTTTTGGGCTATCTTCCCACTCTTCTTTTTGATTGGTGACCCAAGTTATCTGTATTATTTTGGCAAAAAGAAACCATTTTTTTTTAACATTTTAACATGCCTTAAGAACAATGAATTACCCAACTGAGGTATATCATCAAGTAAAATCAAATGAAAAGAAGATAAAAAAAGCCACACAATTTGCCATCCAATTACCTGAGAAAAGTAGGACTCTAGGAAACTCATGTTCACGGCCCCATCAGTGTAGTCCTTATTGGTTCCCCCCGTGGAATGCCTTGTCCTCATTGTTACTGACTGTCCCGAAGAATAGGTGACAAGTCCCGAGGCTGCTCCAAACCCTGTGGCAGCTCCGGATCCAGTAGCTGCTCCAAGCTTGGTTGTCATTTCCATTCCCGAAATTCCTTCCATGACTGTGCCTCCAGCATATGTATTTGTACAAACTTCTAAAAATAGGGGAGAAAAATTCTTTGACATCTCATGCTGTGAATTGTATTTTTATTTTATTTTTATTTTTTTGTGGGACCAGGGATTGAACCTAGGGCCTTGTGCATGCTAAGCAAGCACTCTACCAACTGAGCTATATCCCCAGTCCCTTATGTGAATTATATTTTTAAAAAAGTGATTTCTAATGTCCAGGAGCCATTGCTATGTAAAGCATGAATGTGGGAGAAAATACAATTATGTGATTAAAGGCTCCAAGAACACCCCAGAGTGTGTTATGTGACAGTAACATAAGAGGGGACATCAGCAGATGAAAAGGTTGAAACCCTAATTTAAAAAGTGTACAGAGGAAATAGTTTTTTGATGACAATGGACAGAAATAGAAAAGTAAGACTGGGGATATAGCTCAGCTGGTAGAGTGCTTGCCTCACATGCAAAAGGCCCTGGGTTCAACACCAGCACCAAAACAAAAACAAAAACAAACAAAAGAAATAGAAAAGTAAAAAGAAAATACTTGGCAGATAGGCATGGAAAGCTTCTAAGGAAGTCCTTGTTTGTTCTCATGAAAAAGAAAAAATTGTAATGTGCAGTTATGTTGGCTCAGTTTGGAATCAAAGAGGAAATATATATATTACGCAATCATGTATATAGTTGATGCTAATTTGGTATTTTGGTGCCTAGAGAAATTTAATGCATTATGATTTTTCTGCCAGATAACTTTACATTATGATTTCATGCATTATTTTTTTTCTAGAGAATTCTGAATATAGTTCTTGCTATGTCATTATAATGGGAGAAGCAGATAAAGACTAGAGCAGCTGACAAAGGCAGACAATTACATATTTGGGGAATTATCATGCAGATTCTGTAGGCTGGACATTTAAAAACAATCTAATGCTAATATGGAAGAAAGAAGAAATTTTACTAGTAGGCCTCAGGTCTTACCTTCCTCTAACTTACATTGTAGTTGTGGAATTGAGATAATATGAATAAAATAGTCACTTGATAAAAACAAATAAATAAATTCAGTTATAAGATAACAAAGCTATCATGTTACGTTGTGACTGAATATAAGAATTAGTAATTGAGCTCAAAATAAATATACTGTTGGTTTGAAGGAAGGAAAAAGGGAAAACAGGATTGAGGATGTGTCCACAGGAGACTTTAATGGCTAATGTGACTGCGATTAAGAACAGACAGAAGTTGGGCTGTGGATACATAGATGTTGGTTACCTTTTCCTTTACATTAACATACACAAATTAATAAAGTAATTTTGAATGTGTCTCATTTTTAAAAAAATCTTTCTCATTTAACCCACTGTTGCTATCAAATAGACATTTGATGTTTACTCACCAGAACTTTCCATGAAATCTGCTCCATTGGCCGTTATAGCTGGTACACAAATATTTGTGATTTCCTGCAAATATTCAGGTTTTCAAAACATAAATACATTTAAAAGCAAAGTAGACTTTAGAGCAATACAGATGAAATGTGGTCCTTTGTTAATGGTAACATTTGTTAAGAGTACCAAATCCTTTCAGGAGTAACCTTATTTTTAGGATTTGACATCTAAAGAGCTAAAATCCTAAAAGATTCTTTCCATTACATCAGTGACTCACACTGGGGTCAAGAAATCTCTTCTTTTTGTACTCCTCTCCCCCCTTTTCTATATCAACATTAAATACATTTTTTTCTCTATGTGATTATGATACATATGTTACAAACAGAACCCCTACCTTGTCCTCAGGTTGGGCTCCTTCGATTCCCCACTGATGAATTGTCCCTTCAGAACCATCAGGAACTGGGATGAAACCACCTGTCACCCCTCCGATGGGAGTTGTCCCACAGGAACAGGTCAGCAGCAGAAGGGGGGCCACTAGTGAAAAACAAGACCAAATAATCAGAACATTTCAATTACTCAAACACCATTTGACATGACAACTGTCAGACATGTTACAAAGAAAATAAAAATTTTAAAATACTTAAGGAAAAATTCCTAATAAAAAGTAAAATTGATTTATACAGAATAAAATGTAGGGGCTGGGGTTGTGGCTCAGCGGTAGAGTACTTGCCTGGCATGTGTGAGGCACTGGGTTTGATTCTCAGCACCACATATAAATAAATAAAATAAAAGGTCTATCAACAACTAAAAAATATTAAAAAAAATAAAAGGTAGTAAATTGAGCATGCTAGAATTTCAAATTATTACAAAATGGAAGGAGACAGGCCAGATCATTTCTCGTTGCAGGTATATTGTTGTTGAAGACACACTTGTTTGATGAATGATAAAGGGGGTTGCTCAGTTCCTCAATCCTTTTCCTGCATAGATTTTTTGATGATTGTGTTTCTTTGTACATATTGAAGCTAAATATATATTGTGTTAGGTGAATGTGGAGATGACTATGATACCTGAATGCCCAAGACTTTAGGTGGGTATGATATTGTTTTAGTAATTTGGTTTCTAATCGGTTCTTAGTAAATAGTACTTGATCAGCAAACACCTTAAGCACCTAGAGAGATGACCCTAACAAATGGTGATGAATGGATTCTTAATTGTGACTTGAGAATGAGTCCCTAGCTCAGAGGGTTTTTTAAAAAAATATTTTTTTAGTTGTATTTGGACACAATACCTTTATTTTATTTACTTATTTTTTATGTGGTGCTGAGGATTGAACCCAGGGCCTTGGTCATGCCTAGGTGAGCACTCTACTGCTGAGCCACAACCCCAGCCCTATAAAAATGATTTTCTTTTCTTTTATTTTTTAAGAATATTTATTTTTAGTTGTAGTTGGACACAATATCTTTATTTTATTTATTTATTTTTATGTGGTGCTGCGGATCGAACCCAGGGCCTCGCACATGATAGCTACAATCCCAGTCCAAAAAATGATTTTCTTAATTGAAAAAAAAAGTGATCTGAGGACATATTTGTTAAGTCTGAGTGATGGTTATATGTATGTTTTTAATAAAATTTTCTGTTCTTTTTTAGTGGTTTAATTGATTCCATAAATCAAAAGAAATTTAAAAGAAGGAATTGAAGTAGAAAGTATCATCATGAAAATTTAGCCCTAAATATCTATGACTCTATAATAAATTGGGGTAGTTATTGTGAATGGATCAAGGATTTCTCTTATTTATACATGAATTTGTCACAAAATTCTTTTAAATAGTGACCTCTTACTGTTTGATTCACAGGATTTTGATTTGAATGAAAATTTCCAGAAATCTGTCTGCTGAATAAAATAAATTTTAATTTTATTAAAAAATAATACATATGTGTAGCTTCCCTAAATGTGTTCAATATACTTAACCCTTAAGTCTTAAAATGATATATATTCAGGTAGTTAGCTCTTTCTTTGAGGAAATGCTGGATTAAACAATAACTTCTCAGAGCCATGCTCTTTTAATGCACATTGTAAAGCTCAAAGTCTATGACAGGCCTGTTTATTTCCCCTAAGTTTGTTTGACTAGGGTTTTCTTTCTATTTTAGAATCTCATGGGACTTGAATATGGAGAAGCATCTTAGAAAGTGCTGGGGCTGGGGATACTGGTCAGAGCTGGAGTGTTAACAAGGCCCTGGGTGATCTTCAACACTGCAAAGAGAAAAAAAAAAAAACAACCACAAAGAAGATAAAGAGGAAAAAAATGCACCATGCTTATGGCCCATGAATATTACTGGCAGTAGGAAGAGAATCTTCTTGATTTTTTGTTTATTTTTCAATGTTGGGGTTTGAACACTAGGCCTCATGCATGCTAGGCAAGTGTTCTACCACTGAGCTACATACATCCCCAGCTTCATGATTTCTTTTTCTCCCTCTTGATTCTCCTGTGCTATTCTAAATGTCTGCATATATGAGTTTCTTTGCTATGTTCATATAGATTGATAGCAAGTGACAAGTTAAACTTTCCAGATTCTTTCCAAAAGAATGCCATTTCCTCCCAGCTATGCGTATAAAATGATTTGAGAATGGCTCTTCTCACATTGCACAGAAGAGCACGGGAAACACAAAGTCTTTGCAAGTGTTGCCACCCTAGTGGACACAGAGCTAGGCGGTGGATACTCACACAGCAACATCAAGAGTCCGAGGAGGAGCAAGCCAATGGCATTAGGTCCCAGTCTTGAGGGCCCATTTCTGTACGTGGGCTTAGGTTCTTTGTCTATGGAAGAAGCTCCACAGACATCCCTGTTGTCACAGTCACAGACTGTCAGAGTCAAGATCTCTGGTGTGTCACACTGCCTGTCCTGATTGTCCGTAATTATGAGGGGAATTCTGTACACTCCAGGAGACATCTTTTGCTGGGCTCTCAGGAGAGCAGAGGTACCTGTAGAGAAAGCCATGCAATCAATAGTAAGAACAAGTATATTCCTTTCTTAAAACGACTTATTTTTGATAACAGTGCTAGAATGCTTTACTGGCACAAACAGAGGGCTGATGTGAACGGAGCAGCAATGAGGGGCTCTAAGAGATCAATTGGGTAAATCTGTCTACATGCCTTCTTGTCCTCTCTGACCCAGACACCCCGTTGTTCCTCACCATGAAGACTCAATCTTGCTCTGCTTTTCTCACCAGAGGATAGGAGATGAGCATGATGCAAATATTAGGCTCCTATACCATGGCATTACTACTTTCCTGTATGTCTACACTCAGATGCATGTGGCCTTCTGAGTGTACGCCTTACCCTGAACTCCATGTTCTTGGGTCTGCCTCATCAACAGTGAACTTCAGCTTTGGCTGCTGCTACTGCACCTGCTCCTCCTAGTTCTCATTCCAGGAGATTATGGCCTGTTGGATGGGATTCCCAGGGGTGTCACCTATTGCCTGACTCCTGAGCACCAGTTGTTCCCTAGTCTCCATGGCAACATTGCCCCTTTCTAAGTGGGATCCCACAGCAGTGCTGCTGTTTGAATCACTCTTGACCTCTCCATGTTCTGTCACATTGGGTCTTGTTCACCCTGTCCAACCATGGTTGCCCTGCCCAGACTCAACTGAGCTGGTTTCCTGTGCTGGCCCTCTCTTAGTGGCATCTTTAGTGACTATGTATCAGGTAAACTCATTTTGAGCCAAATGCTATATGTGTAGTTTGGAGCTAGATCTTTAACCAGCATCAGAAAGGCCCAAGGGCAGAAGGTGACACAGAACAAAATCTTTTTGACTCCGGTGATGGCTGTAATCTATGACTATAGGGCACCACGGACCATGTCCATGAAAGGAGGCAGGACTGGTGTGGGTAAGAGCTAAGGAAAGTGAGTGAGTTTACAAGGGATCTGAAATGGACTGATGGCCAAAATAAAATTCCCCAAAGGAACAGATTTTTATTAAGTCTAACATCTATATATATAAGACTTCTGGAAGACAGAAAATGTAAAACGAGCACAGTAAAGATTAGGAGAAAAGGAATAAATATTCTCCATTGGCTAGTGGGTTTTTCCAGTGCTTCCTGTCTGCTTACTGCCAGCCCCATTAGGAAAACCTTATGTATGGAGAGATATAGACATTTCTCTGAAAAAAAATAGATGCCTGACCCTATTTTTTTTTCTACTGTGGAGGTAGAAATAAATACACTAGAAATATAAAAGTTATTCAATAAAAACCAGAAAATTTTAAGTGGTGCTAACATTTTATCTTACTATTTCTTTTCTGAAGTAGAGGTCACATCTTTATAACAAAGATTTTTTTTTTTTTAATAATTCTTGGAAACCTGCTCTCCAATGAATTCTCATACTCTTCTGGAAACATAAAGAAGTGCAACTTTTATTTATGGAAGCAACTTTCCTCTTACTCACCATTGAGTGCTGTGATAGTCCAAACAACTGGCAACTTCTGCAGTTTCTTTTCCAGTGAAAATGTGTAGGGACCAGGGTATCTGTCCCTTTGCAGGTTTTGAGCAGAGACAACCACAGAAGGTGAGGGACCACAGACTTCGTCCTTCTCCAGGACCACTGGTGGACAATTTTCATTAAAACTGGGTACTTTAACATGCACGGTGCCTGTAGAAGTTTTACCTGTGTATTCTGTAAGAATAACATTTTAAAGTTAAAGAAGTATATCAAATAAATTTGTACCAAAAAGAAGAGAATCGTTCAAAGTTTCTCTTCGTGCAGGTAAATCAGTATATCTTCTCATGAGAAATTATATTTGTTACTGTCAGAAGTAAAGAGATGTCGTCTTATTTCTACAGCTCACAAAAAACAACTTGAAATTTACCAAATTGCCCAGTGTAGCATGGCCTATTAATTAATTAATTAATTTTTTTTTATTGTTGGTTGTTCAAAACATTACATAGTTCTTGATATATCATCTTTCACACTTTGCTTCAAGTGGGTTATGAACTCCCATTTTTAGCCCATATACAGATTGCAGAATCACATCAATTACACATCCATTGATTTACATATTGCCATACTAGTGACTGTCATGTTCTGCTACCTTTCCTATCCTCTACTATCCCCCCTCCCCTCCCCGCCCCACCCCTCTTTTCTCTCTACCCCCTCTACTGACCTTCATTTCTCCCCCTTGTATTATTTTTCCCTTTCCCCTCATTTCCTCTTGTATGTTCTTTTGTATAACCCTGAGGGTCTCCTTCCATTTCCATGCAATTTCCCTTCTCTCTCCCTTTCCCTCCCACCTCTCATCTCTGTTTAATGTTAATCTTCTTCTCATGCTCTTCATCCCTACTCTGTTCTTAGTTACTCTCCTTATATCAAAGAAGACATTTGGCATTTGTTTTTTAGGGATTGGCTAGCTTCACTTAGCATAATCTGCTCTAGTGCCATCCATTTCCCTGCAAATTCTATGATTTTGTCATTTTTTAATGCAGAGTAATACTCCATTGTGTATAAATGCCACATTTTTTTAATCCATTTGTCTATTGAAGGGCATCTGGGTTGGTTCCACAGTCTTGCTACTGTGAATTGAGCTGCTATGAACATCGAAGTAGCAGTGTCCCTGTAGCATGCTCTTTTTAGGTCTTTAGGGAATAGACCAAGAAGGGGAATAGCTGGGTCAAATGGTGGCTCCATTCCCAGCTTCCCAAGAAATCTCCATACTGCTTTCCAAATTGGCTGCACCAATCTGCAGTCCCACCAGCAATGTACAAGTGTACCCTTTTCCCCACATCCTCGCCAGCACTTGTTGTTGTTTGACTTCATAATGGCTGCCAATCTTACTGGAGTGAGATGGTATCTTAGGGTGGTTTTGATTTGCATTTCTCTGACTGCTAGAGATGGTGAGCATTTTTTCATGTACTTGTTGATTGATTGTATATCCTCCTCTGAGAAGTGTCTGTTCAGGTCCTTGACCCATTTGTTGATTGGGTTGTTTGTTATCTTATTGTCTAATTTTTTGAGTTCTTTGTATACTCTGGATATTAGGGCTCTATCTGAAGTGTGAGGAGTAAAGATTTGTTCCCAGGATGTAGGCTCTCTATTTACCTCTCTTAATTTAAGATGCTCAAAAGCAAAATCTATATGGTGTCAAGTTTACTGACTACAAATGAGATCAACACAATAATAGCTTTTTAAGCTATGTTGGTTTCATTTGCAATCAGTGTGTGAAAGATTTCTACTTCTAAAGCTTGAGCCAAAGTAAATAAAAAAGTTGATTTATTTTTATTATCTAAAATATAAAATTTATATTTTATATTTATCAGAGAAAAATTTAAAATCTTGATAATTGAAAACAACAGAATAAATATCTCTTGATGGTGAGATTATTAGTCATGTCTGCTGTTACTCTTAATGCTTTTTCCAGTTTCCCCAGTAGTGTGTGTGTGTGTGTGTGTGTGTGTGTGTGTATATATATATATATATTATAAATAAATAAATTTGGGGGCAGGGGTTCTATTTTGGTGTTGCTTATTACATTGACCAAAAAAAATTTTATTCTTGAGGAAACACACAAAATCAATGAGTATTATTTTAAAACATTTCATTAAAAGAAGTCTTATTGTTCAATGATATGCATAGAAGGTCTCTGTGGGTAACACACAGACTTCACTTTTGAGTTGAGCTTCCCTACTAGGTTTTCCATAGGAAACTGTATTGATTCTCTGAAACCCAGAAATTTCTGTAGGTGAAAAATTCCTCCCTCAACCACAGGAAGGTCAGAGGGAACAAACAGAATCAGTGGTGACACAAACTCCACTGAGCAGCTGAAATTCTCAGTCTTTCTCTTAGAATAGGTTACCCAAGACTTTGAAGTCCACAGCCTCTGAAATAATGATCTTTATCTAGTGACAAAGGAAGTATGTGAAATAATTACAATCAACAAGTCACAAAGAAATGTGAACTGCACAAGCATTTCTCTAAAATCTATTGGAATATTTTTCTTACCATCTATGGCCAGAACCTCAGCTGTGATTGTGTTGTTAATGATGAAAGTAGAATCCCGGTCAATGTTTTTGACAAATTTGATTTCAGCCGTTTTTGAATCAATAGTTAGCAGACCACCATAATTATGACCCATGACATATCTGTTTTATAATAGAAAAAACAATAGTTTTCTTTCAGACTTGAAATGTTGTTTAATAAAAATGACTCATTTATATTTAATATATTCATGCTTAATATAAAACTTTGAAGTATAGGCTTATAAAAAGTTTCAGAAAATTATCATGACATGCATCAACCATATTTTTGTAATCCTTATGTATAAATTAGCCTGGTTACTCAATTTAAACACCTGTGCCCTTGTTTTTTTTATTTTTTAAAAATTAATTAATTTATTTCAATTAGGTATATATGACAGCAGAATGGATTTTGATTCACTGTACACAACTGCAGCACAACTTTTCATTTCTCTAGTTGTACATGATGTAGTGTTGCACCATATGTGCAGTCATACAAGTACCTACGGTAATGATGGCCATCTCAATCTGCCATCTTTCTTGCCCCCATACCCTCTCCCTTTCTCTCCTTCCCTTTTGCCTTGTTCTTTATAATATAGCCATTGCATCATACTCTGATATTTTAGGCATTTATACCTTTGTATATTCCTTGGAATCATGTGCAATCATGTTTTATATGATTGAAGTGTAGTGTTCTGATGAATTTCTAATCTTCTCTAAGACTCAACTGGAAGTCTCTGTGAAACCTCTTCTTGATCTCTCTTGATGGACTAGGCTATTCTCTTCACTTCTACTTTATACTTATTTCTGTTCTTAGCACAGTTTAGTCTAATAATTTATTTTTATTCTAATATTTATTCTAATTAAATATTATTCTAATATTTCTGCATGTCTCTTCTCAAGTTATCCAGGTCCTTATCTTCATCACTTTTGTATATTTTTGGCACATGATTGTCTGTGTATTATGTTGGGGTGGTTTATAGATTAAAGCTAGACCTAGGAATAACACGATTTCATAAAATAGTCTTACCTGACAGAGGAGGCAGCTTTGCCAGTGTCTTCATCAGTGGCTTGATATGTTCCCAGGACATAACCAATCAGTTTTTTACTACTTATGCCTTTTTGCACAGTGAATATCTTCGAAGAAGGGCGGAATGAAATTCCTTCTTTGACATTTACGACCTGGACTGTGACTGGGATTGACTGAACTCGATATTGAGAGATTATGGACCGGTGGAATTCGGCTTTGTTTTTGACAGCAATACCAAATTGCATGCTTTGCATTTGTTCATAATCGAGAGGCTGGAGAGAAAATAAAATTCGAAGGAAGGAAGTGTCACAAACACAATCCGACAAACCTAGCAGAGGACAGAGAGCTTGATGTGAGAGAAAAGATATAGGATTCTATATCATGAGATTCATTTTGGTAACTGATATTTACAAAGCAGGATCCCTCCGTTTAGGCTAGCAAAACATTACTGTAGTCTTTTTAGGTTGTGAGGTACAGGGGAAAGAATCCTAAATTTGCTGTAGTAACAGAGTGTGAATCTGGGTTCTGCTATTTAAGTGCTGTGTGGCTCAGGGCACAATACTCACCTTCTCTGAACCTCAAGTTTTCACATCTAAAAACAAACCTTATCTCATCAGGTTGTGAAGACTGAAGCTGTCTAGCTAGAGGCAGCAAGGCCAGGATGGAGGACAGGTGGGAGGAAGGTTGAGGGGAGGATATTTTAAAGGATGTTCTACTCAGTCAGGTGTTTGGCTGTGTGTTGTCAGGAAATGTCACAGTTCAAGGGAAAGACCCAGGTTTCTAGTTTGGGAGACTGAACAACACCCATACACGAGATAGGGAACATCTCATTCCCAGGCAGTGCTAGAAGTTTATAATAGAACACTTTCAAGTGGGGATGGCTGTGGCACAGTATGAAAAGTAAAGTCATAAGGAACAGTTTGCAAATCTTCTAGCAGTTCCCTTGTTAAGGGCCTGGGGAACATTGTGAATCTGTCATTCCACTGGACTTAAGGAGTTAATAAGAAAGCTCCCATATGGCCCAAAGTCCTGTCAAAGAATGTCACCAGATTGTCTTTATTTTTTCTGGTTTATACTATATCCAGGCAGAAATATCCTTGTGTGTCACAGGGAAGCCTGTTAAATGCAAGCTTTACACAGTTATCTATTTTTTTTTTATCTTGAAGGTTTTGTTCATCCATTCCTAATTTCTAGACACTGTGGTTTTTTTTCTCCAATCATTACAGCTGCGACATTTAAACCAGGTTGACAAACGTGCAAGCCACAATTGTGTGTATTCTCATCCCTTCCTAACTTCAACTTGATTGCAGATAAAGAATTTCATTAATGGAAGAAATGTGCTTTGCTCTCTTGAGCTGAAAGCATGCCCGCCCATACGTGTTGTTAGGCAGTAGCCATCAATGAGTGGTGAAATGCAAGGGAAGGTCCTAAAGTGTTCTTTAAGTTTCTTTAGGGTCCTTCTTTAAACTATCTTAAGAAATCAAATGGTGGCAGTTAATCTGTAGAAAAAAATGCAAGGAGCTATTTTTAAAATGTGTCACAAGAAAAGATTTAATGGGACTGACTCTTGACAAGGTCCACTGAGGTCAATGTGAAATTAGGAATTATAGCTATAAGTGTCTTCATCTGTCTGGGAAGGAAGATTTCTTTAGCGTGCAGGCACACAAGGTAAATTCTGACCAGCTCTTGACCCCAGTCACACTTTAACATGGGATTGACTTGTAGATGAAGCCCCCCTAAATAGGATGACCCCTATGACAATTTTGAAGAGGACCAACTAAGGTCAAAAACTCCAGGTGAGAAGGAGGAGTTGAACACCTGATTGGCAAAGAGTACAGAAGGTGGTCCCCAGCTCTCCTGGTCAACATCAAACAGTAATGAACTTGGAGACAGCTTTTCTCCTTTGTCATTCTCTGCGTGGAGTCAGCCCACTCTCTCTCTCTAGGACATGCTTCCTGCTTAAGCTTCACTTGCTTTTACTTTACTTTCACCGATAATAAAGTTTTCTTGCATGGCTTTTGGTGTCTGACTTTAAGGTTTCTTGCATCAGAACGCAAGAACCAAGGTTTGGAGTTTCGGCTCCCTGCTTTCCTGGGACACATGAACTCTGTAAAGTAGGAAGGCTTAGAAGGAAATAAACCAGCATGTTAAGAGAGACTGTCTTTAGGAATGACCCTGTCACGGGATTTTTAAAAGTCTGTCTACTTTTATGCATTTTCTGTTGTGTATAATGAAGTGGCATTATTATTAATAAAGTTTGTTTGCAGAAGTGATGATTTTGGTCAGTTCTGAGGATTTCTACCCATGAAGGCAACTCAGGCTTTACCTTAACCACCTTCAGGATGCCTTCGTTGGTTGTGGGATCAGTTTCTATTTCAAACCATTTCCCTTCATTTCCAGAGGTAAAGAAATACACGGCCAGCCAATTATCTGTGTACTCTTCATCCCAGTCTGTCACTTGAAACCGAAGCAAGTTCGAATTTAAAGCATTTTCTTCAATACGTGCCCAATACTGAAAAAGAGAAAAGCAGGATTTAAGAATCACATTGCTAGATTTGACCTATAAGGATTATAGTTATTTTAAATGGCATTAGTCATTATCTCTCAAATTATGTATTGCCTTCCTTCTAGATCCCAAATATTTTCATGAAGCTTATTTTTAAAGGAAAGCTCAGAAACTTTAAGAGCCAACAAGTAGGCAAATACTGCATTGGGATGGCAAAGTATTAAATAAATGTCAACACAATTCTTGAAGGAATAATGGGTTTACCTGAGATTCTGTAAACGTTGGGAAGTTATCGTTGACATCTTTCACTTTAATATTACATTTACATTGAGTCGACAGCCCTTCACCATCTCTGTCTGCACCACTCACAACCAGACTGTAGCTGCTAACTTGCTGAATTTGGAAAAAAAAATAAAGACGTATTATCAATCTTCTAAGAATGTGAAAGGCCGTTACTTTCTTTCCACGGATAAGCCAGTGGAGACATTGAAGTTCATGGTCCCTGGATCACAAGCACTATTAGCTCTTCTTGAAAAAGGAAGTTTGTAGGGCTAGAACAGTTCCCATTTTTGTAAACTTCTGATGTCATTGAGTCTGGTGGAATGATGATGTGAGAAAAGCTCATTTATGGGGCTTCTCTGCTAGTCTACTGGGAAAACCATTTGCATGAAAGCAATATGGGATCTGACATGGCAGCCTGTGTCATGGAGGCAGATGTGGTGGTGGGAGGGGATGGAAAGAAAAGCCGAAGGAGACTCTTTGGTATAAACATCAGAGAAGGCTTGATTCCAGATAGAAATATCTTCCTCCATCTAAGAGATTTACTTTCTCCATTTTCTGAGAAATTGGCCACGTGCTTCCTTTGTGCATGTAAGCCAATGGCTTCTTTTTTTTAAATATTTATTTATTGACACAATACCTTTTATTTATTTATTTTTATGTGGTGCACACATAGCAAAGGAAGTTACAATGGCTTCTTTTACTGTCATTTTAACTTCCTTTGCTATGTGTAGGGTGCATTTGATTGTGCAGCAGGTCACAGGTACACATTTCATACCACCAGATTCACACCCAAGAAGGCAAACCATGTCCCTAGGTTAGCTCTGGTAAGTGCTGGCACATTCTTTTCCTTTGTCTTTTTATTCTCAGTTAAAATAGAGTCACCTCTCTTGGGTTTCTTAAAATCAAATTCTTTATTTTTACATGCTTCCAAGTGACTTTCTTTACCTCTCGATCAACAGAATTGGTCAAAGTTCGGACTTCTCCAGTATTTCTGCTTATGAGAAACATGGACATGCTTGAAGGTTCCTGGGAGACAATTTTGAAGGCAATTTTCGAGTTCAGATTGTTTGGTTCATCTGCGTCTGTGGCATTCAGTATCATCACCAGTGAGTCTGCAAATATAGGAAAATATTCATGAAAGCATATGTAAAGGTTGACATTATGTTCAAATTAAATATTCAACACAGTTTCACTTTGTTTTTTTTTAATATTTTAAAAACCACCCATACACTCAAAAAAATTGCATATCACTTGTGATAGCTTTCTCTCTTAACTAGGTAGAACCTGCTGCTTTCCATAAAAATCCTCTGATTTTCCTAAGCCCTGGTTTTGTGGCAGTTGAGACCATTTTCTGTATCGATTTCTTCCCTTAATGGATGGTCTTATATTTCTCCCCATTTCCCAAGTTATCCAAATAATGCAAGAAAGTCTCTGCCCCTTATAACCTAAAAAAAGCTTAGATCATGCATTCAGGCTGCCTGAGGATGCCCCCCTCAGCTTTGTGACTTCCTGATACTCATGTAAATTATGTATGAAGAATAAAATACTATCAACCTTATAACAGGACTACAATCTAGAAACACAATGGTGCTGGGTAATCAGGTGAACTACAACATTTTCAAAGGAACAAACAAATTAGCTTGATCCTTTTTTAATTACTGAGGAAACTAAGAGAATAACTTATTTTCTATGAATGACACCATAGTGATACTTGTATTTGAAAAGCAGATGAATTAGAAGTGGTAGATAGCATAAAAGACTTACTTGAAGCACTATTTTCTTCAATTTCACCCTGGAATATGCTTTGTGAAAACACTGGAGGATTATCATTAATATCTAAAATTTTGACCGTTAGTATAAGTGGTTTTTCTACATCTTTTCCTAAGGCATTTAGAGCTCGACATGTGATCTAGAAACAGAAGGAAAATGTTCATTATTACTCTAAAAACTTACGTTGCATATTATTAGAACTTGTATACCTAAAGTCTCTGCTGGCATGTACAGAATTTTTGTGCAAAGAAGAAAAATACTTCCCTAAACGGTAGACAAAATGGAAAAAGATGCCTACTCTTGCCATGGGGCAAATTGTCCCTTCCTCCAGGCTAATGTCTCCCAGCAGGACAAAGCTCCTGGCAGGCTGTGTGCTGGAGTCTGGCCCTCACTCTTGTTCTCCATTTAGGTATTCCTTCAGGTGCACAAACCATCAGTGGACGCTCTTGGTAGGGGAACTGATGTTACTTGTTATTGAATTGACTCATGTACTCATAAATTCACCAGTAGAAGAGCCACCTTCTAAAGCCAGGAAGTACAGGGAGAATGTAGACTGATGTTGAAGACACAAACTTACCAGGAAGCTTGGTGTTTTCTCTCGATCAACTATGGATGTTATGTTAATATCACCAGTGTTTGGGTCAACAACAAAGATTCCAAAGGGGGACTGATCAATTCCAACTCCAGAAATTCGGTAGGTTATTTTCTGGGTTGCTTGAAAATCTGAAGAAATCTGCAAACAAAAATAACCCGCTGTTGGTAAGGTGATGATCATCCCTCAGGTCTTTTCCTCCCCTCTGCCTTCCTTTCCCTCCATAGTTCAGTCACCTGTTTCCTTAGTCCACTTTCTGATACTGTGGCATTTACTTTTTGTCTTATCAGGTAGTAGGAATAGGAAATAAAGTCATGTAGTTGCTTCTGCAGACCAGCATGGGCCAATATGTGCTCATCATTGTGACTTTTAGAATATTTACTCAGATTGTGGCCACAACGGTGACAGTAAAATGTTAAGAGAAGGTCAAAGGCACTTAAAAAAGCCAATTGACAAGGCTAGGTCCCTCCTTACCTGATAACATTAGAAAAAGAAAGATTTTTTTTAGCTTAAAGAGGACGAAATGGAGAGGAAGAAAGAGAAAAGAATCATATAGTAGGTGTTGAAAATATGCATTAAAATTATTTGTTTGTTAAGTTTTAAAATGGGGGCTATTTAAAATATGTACACAAAGTTAGAACAGTATAATGAACTTGATACATTTCAGCACTCACCTTCACCAATTATCCATGCATGGCTAATCCGATGTTTACCACCAACCATATTTCTAATTGTCTTATCTCTATTTTTTTTCTTTATTTATTAAATCTGGATCCAAATAAGCTTAAACACTAAAATTAGTCAGTATGTCTCTTAATTCCATTTTGTAATTCTAGAAGCCAGAGTTCCTTCATTTTTCTTTCTAATTTTTATGTTATTATAATTATTGTACTTTTTTGTTGGATATTCTAGTTCTTTTGTTTTATGGACATTGGGATCTCTATATTATTTTAATTTACATGTAATGCATTTATTTAAAAAAAATTCACACGTCTCTGCTGATATGATTTACCTTGGCAATTGGGTTTCTTTTTGAGTTGTCTTCTCCTTCTCTGCAGGGTTTGGCAAATTTCACCCATTCACGTTTGTGTCTTCTTCTGGTTTGTTGCATTGCTGTCTCGTCTTCTTCATGTTGTCCTTTCGTCTTATGCAAAAAGGAATTTCATTTTTTAATGCACATTGTTGGCAATTTTTACTTTTAATATTGATTATGAACACCTGTGTTGAGGAATGCCCTATGTTTCAAGGTAACTAAGACTGTTAGATGTTCAATTTGCTCAACCCAATATTTTAAGGAAAAAAATTAAGTAACTAAAATAATTACAAAGTTATATGACTTCCAATATTAGCATTTTAATCATATTTTTATATTTTTTAAAGGCTTCACAATATCTAAGTGTTTTAGATTCATAGGATTTGACCTGTTGGGTTGTTTAAGGCGAAGAAAAGAATGCATGACATAAATCAAAAGAATAATATTAAAGATGATCTTTTTCTAAGTATTGTTGGTGTGGTCACTAGAATTTTAATTTCATGTATTTTCACAATTAAATTATCAAATGATTTTAAACATTAAATACTCATCTTTCCTAAATACAATTTTAAGTTTTAATATTAAACTTGTATTTAAATTGCAAAAAAGTTTTCATACTTTACCTCTATTCGCAATTCTCCATGAACCAACACCACCACCTGTAGACATTTAAATAGAGTCAAATTATATGAGTTCTTAAAATAAGTAATTATATACAATGAATTATCCTAATTATTTCATTTTCTTGTTCATGTTATAGTTTGTTTCCATTTTTTAAAAAGTAGTTTTGGAGAGGTGGTATTTAAAGCATAAATTCCCACCATGAAAAGGAATGCTGCTTTCAATGTAAACAAGTTCTTCCAGTTCTTTAACCTGACTACAGAATTTTAGTAATGTAAGAAGGACTTTGCAAAACTATACTAACAACCAGTTGCAGCAACCAGATATTCTATTGTGGCTGTTCTCTGAACAGTTCCCAGAAGCTATGGAAGGTATTTCTTCTTTTTTTCTTTTATTTGTTTTAATTAGTTATACATGACATCAGAATGCATTTCGGTTCATTGTATATAAATGGAGCACAGCTTTTCATTTCTCTGGTAGTATATGATGTAGAGTTGCACCATATGTGCAGTCATGCATGTACCTAGGGTAATGATGTCCATCTCATTCCACCATCTTTCCTACCCTTATGTCCCCTCTTCCCCTCTCTCCTTTGCTCAATTGAAGTTATAGATAAGCATCCACTTATCAGGGAGAACATTCGGCCAACTCAAAGTGGATCAAGGACCTAGGAATTAGACCAGAGACCCTGCAACTAATATAAGAGAAACTAGACCCAAATCTTCATCATGTCGGATTAGATCCTGACTTCCTTAACAAGACTCCTAAAGCACAATAAGTAAAGAATTAATAAATGGGATGGATTCAAACTAAAAAGCTTCTTCTCAGCAAGGATACAATCAACAATGTGAAGAAAGAAATCACAGAGTGGGAAAATATCTTTATTATATGCACATCAAATAGAGCACTAATTTCCATGATATATAAAGAACTCAAAAACTCAACACCAAAAGAATAAGTAACCCAGTCAATAAATGGGCTAAGGAAATGAACAGATACTTCACAGAAGGAAATATAAAATTGGTCAACAAATATATGAAAAAATGTTCAACTTCATTAGTAATTAAAGAAATGCAAATCAAAACTAATATTTCATCTCACTCCAGTCAGAATGGCAATTATCAAGAATACAAGCAACAATAAGTGTTGGCGAGGATGCTGAGAAAAGGTACACTAGTACATTGCTGGTGGCACTGCAAACTGGTGCAACCACTCTGAAAAGCACTGTGGGGATTCCTTAAAAAAATCTTGGAAGGGAACCACCATTTGACCCAGCTATCCCACTCCTTAGTCTATACCCAAAGGACTTAAAATCAGCATACTATAGTGACACAGCCACATCAATGGTTATAGCAGGTCAATTCACGGTAGCTAAACTGTGGAACCAACCTAGATGCCCTTCAGGAGATGACTGAATAAAGGAACTGTGGTACATATACACAATGGAATATTACTCAGCTTTAAAAGAGAATAAAATCATGGCATTTGCAGGTAAATGGATGGAGTTGGAGAATATCATGCTAAGTGAAATAAGCCAATTCCAAAAACCAAAGGCCAAATGTTCTCCCTGATAAGTGGAAGGCATTGTTTCGGGAAACAAGTAAGAAAGTAGTCACAGAAGCTGATTAAAGACCATCACCTATCCAATGGCTTGCAAAAGCAAACCATATTAGCTTAAGTTATAGAACAGTTTCTTTAGCTGTACAAGAGTCAAAAGAGTATAATGGAATTACTGAAGTCAGGCAAACTGCTCCCACTCTCAAGAGCATATGGGACCATCACATGTACAATTTTCCATATTGCTTACCACCAGGGATTCATCCCTCTTTCCCCTCCACTTAAATATTACTCATCTGTTAAGGTCTGTGTTCAAATTCTAAAATGCTCCATTAAACTCTTTTTACTGATGTCTCCTTTTTTGAGTTTGTGCAACTCACATTCTATACCATGCAAGTTAGCATTTTGGTTTATCATGATTTATTATTTTTTTTTACTGTTCTATGTGCATTAAAAAATTTCTCTGTTAAGCCAAGAGAATTGCAAATTTTCAAATTCCGTGCTTTTATCTTACTATTTTTTCCTTCAGCAGATGTTTAAGCATTATTTGGTGATCCACTGATTATGTGACCTAAAGAGAATTTGGTAGGAAAATGACTGTGGAAAACCAATCAGAAGAAAAAAAAAAGAAGACTAGTAATAGTAGTTAATGTTCATTATGTGACTTTATTAATTTTATTCGTAAAGCTTTACCCTTACTATCTTGTTTAATATTTGCAGAAGTCAGTGTGGAAGGAGATTCTATTGTTATAATCCTTATTTTATGGATGAAGAAAGGCAGCCATGAGAGAATGAATAATTTGCTCCAGCCACTGGCCCTGGTAGAGTCAGGATTTGAACCTCAGCAGCCTGACCTCAGAGTATGTACATCAGCACTAAACTAGATTCTAACCAAAGTTGGCAGAAATACATAGGAAAAAACAAAAAACAAGCAAAAAAAACTAGTAGTGGGAAGAAAGTTACATGATAGTCAATTTAGGTTTCTATATGGCTAAAGGCTAGGGTTGCTCCTGAAACAACATAAATTTATTACATCTTTTATTTTTTTATTTTCAAAGGTTATAATGAAAGGGCAAGTCCAAGTCTGAACCAAAGGATTAATCATGTCAATCTTAGGATGTCCAGACTCTTCCATTCTAAACCTTTCAACTGAAACTCTGGTTTCAAAGAGTGTGTGTTCAAATTTTCCTGAAAAAGAATCATTATAACATGTCTCAAAATGATTTTTACAACATCGTTGTTCTTTATTAGCAAGGTAGTGATTGAACAACTCCTTCCTCAGATCATAAGTGGAGAGACTCAGCCACACATGAGGGGAAGGATGAGCCAGGCACATTGGCCTTTACAGGAAAATCAGAGTCATCCAGAAAATATGAATCACGTCTGTCCCAGCCCCAGAGAGGAGGATTCTTCTAGTAGGCAGTACAGAACAATTTATATTTTCCTGGGAAGCAAAAGAGATACAAAGCCCAAACTATGCACAATTAACACTATAGACAGATGTTTATTTATTTATTTTTCTATGTTTTTCTAGTATCAGAGTGCTGAGAAAGGTTATTCTAAGTCTTTACTCTTTCCTGTATTTTTTTTAAAGTCAGATCACCAAGAATGTCTCTAATTTTATGAAACATTGCAAAACTGTGATGCTTTTGTTTTTTTCTTTTTGCTTTTAGGAATAAAAGGTAGTTGGTAAGACACGTTTCTGAATATTGCTATGCTTCTCAGATATTAGAAATCTAATCACAGTCTCATATTGTTTAGAATAGTATTTTCTAAAAAATATTATTATGAACAATGTTATTTTTAGTTAACAAATACTTATACAATGGGTAATTATTTAAGTTAAATTGTTAATATAATTAATTTTATTAAACAATTTATAAAATTATTTATAAAATAAGTTGTGTAAACTTTTTACATACAATGTTGTTTGAAATAAGTATACGTTGTGGAATAGCTAAATTGAGCTAATAAATAAAATATATAGTTTCCTGACAACTTAAATCAATTAAGTTTTCTCTTTTCATAACATGGATTGGAAGTACCAATGTGGAAAAGTATTTCTTATCTTGAGAACTTCTGTACCTTTCTTTTTCACTTTTGTTTCCTGATTATTTGTAAATTTTGATTATATGATTTTTAGAGTACTGATACAGACTAAATAATTTGGTATAGATAGGAATTTAAGTACATATAAGCAAACCTGATCATTAAGAAAACATATAAATAAAGTAATTTAATATTCATGTACCCTATTTGCTAGTGAGCATAATATCATTATTAATGTTTCAATTGAATTTAAGGATATGGGTGGCTAGATTTTTATAGACCGTTTGTAATGACACCTGATATTTTACTTGGTTAGGCCAAGATTTTGACTAGAATTACCTCAGACTTTAGTGTGAGGATTATTAGATTATGATCAGATGCAGGAGGCTAGTCCAGCTGGGCTGAGCCATGACCACTCTTTCCTTTTATTTTATTAATGTGTTTGCATAAAAAGTCCTGAAATCCACATATGATGGTGGTTTTATTTCTATAATTGGTCAGAAACAGTGATTGTGAGTGTATCAGATCACAGAGATGGTTCCATACACAACTGATGAATAAATTATATATACACAATTTGGAAGATGTGAGTGCTTCATCTTTCCTGATTTCTCCCTGAACAGATGCTCCTCAACTTATGTTGGAATGATGTCCTGATACACCCACTGTAAGTTGAAGATATCATTAAGTTGTATATACATTTAATACAGCCACCTCACTGAACACCATGGCTTATCCTAGACCACCTTAAAGATGGTTGGAGCACTTACATTAGCCTACATTTGGGAAATTGTCTATTTCAAAGCCTGCTGTATAATTAAGTATTGTATGCCTCATGTAATTTATTGAATTCTATACTGAAAGGGAAAAACAGGATGGTGGTATGGGTGTGCTTTCTCACCAACATAAATTGAAAATTCATGAGTTGAACTATCATTAATTGGACTTATCTGCATTGAATTTTTCAAATTTAAGAACCCCCAAACATTCTAATAAACTTTGTTTCCATCAAGACAAATTATTTTACTGAATCAAAATTATATATGTTCATTACTTAGAAACTATTTACTTTGGATAATTCAAATTTCCAATAACAGATTTGTAAATTCAATTAAATTAGAAAGTTGAACTTTGCATTATGATGGAGATACTAAGAAAATCAAATACCCTTAGATATACACAAACATTCCTTTAGAATGCTGTTCAGGATGCCGCCTAGTGTGGCAAAGCAAAACTGGACCCCGATCCTGAATTTGAATCCCAGTTCCAGCCCTGTACCAATTGTAAAACTTGGGGACATTACTTCATCCTCTGTTTCCTCTTCTGTAATATAGGTATCTTACTGCCCTTATACTTGTGAGACTTTAAAAAATTAATTGATAGCCCTAGCCCATCCTGGCCCATAGTAGGTGCTTAATAACTGTTAAACAGAACCAGGTGTGATGGTGCATGACTGTATTCCCAGCAGCTTGGGAGGCTGAGGCAGGAGGATCCCAACTTCAAAGCCAGCCTCAGCAAGTTAGTGAGGCCCTAAGCAACTTAATGAGATCCTGTCTCAAAATAAAAAGTAAAAAGGGCTAGGGATGTGACTCAGTGGTTAAGTGCCCTGGGTTCAATCCCTGATATGCCCGCCCCCAAAAGACACTTTTGTCACTAAACCAAACCAAAACAAAATGGAAGGGGGGAAAAAAAAGCATAGAAGAGCTACTTTGACTAATATGGGTCATCTCTGACAAGGCGCATAGGAACACTTTCTTTCTTGAGCAAAGAGAGCTCCACTACACAACTGTGTAGGTTGTTCCTTGCACAACTCCAGGGGGTACTGTTCCCACTGTCGTTTATGGGAACTCCTACTGGAGTTGTGCAATGCACAACCTGGACAGCTGCCCAGCAGACCTGTAGGAAAAACGTGTGTATTAGATAGATTCAGTTTTTTTAATCATATAATTATGGATAGTAACCAATTGTCTATATAATTTTCTTGTGATGAGTTTCCCAAAACAAGCTCTCACCCTAGGCTAGCAGATTGATTCTTTACCGGGAAGAAATGGCCAAAGGCTAAGAGGTTTATGAGAAATCTCATGGACACTGTGTGTTCTAGTTCCAGATGAAAACCAGTTTCAGGTATGAAGCAAGTGGGAGTGCTAATTGGTAGAAGTAATCACATCTTTCCTGACTCTGCCCAAGTCAGGCAGGGCCGGGCAGAATCCGTTGACAAGGTTATCCTTATTTTAGAGTCTTAACTTTTGGAAAAGTTCTGTAGGAAACTTATCTTCATATACTTATTAGTACTGAAAACAATTGTTTTATTAGTTAAGAAAAGATTTTCCTTTTGTTAAAATGGGCCATTTAGCCTAAAACCCTTTTTCTAAAAATTTAATTTTTGAATGTTTTATGGAAAAGGTGGTTGAAGATCTTTCTCCTGTATTTAGAACACGATCTACTCTGAACTTGATGCTTAAATTCCTTCTGTGTCTTTAAAACAACTGTATTAAAAATCTTTGGGTTTCAAACATCTCTATTAATTTTACAGTGAGTAAAGCTTTATGTAATATAATAACATGAAATCAGATGGCTCATTATTCAAATATTTACAGGAATGCTAGATGACAAAATGTGTTTTGGATATTTGTGAACTGCAAAACAGTGAACAATGGTTTCCATTGAAGACAGAACTTTTAAGAGGTTTGTCTCTTAAAAGAGTCTTTTTATCTCTGAGGGTAAAGCATTTTCAACTACAAATCTTTTCCTAAAATTGTTTATCATTTTGTATTATGTGAAATATCAGACAAGCATAAGAAATAAAAAATAAGACTTTTTTTTTTTTAAAAGAATAAGCTGGTATTCTTCATGCCTTCCCCTTCCAAATAATTAATTCAGAAGACAATAGCTGAAATTTTGTGAAAAGTTTCACATTTGAAAATATCCTTTTTCCCCGTATCATTATATTCATTTAAAATATAGCTATTATTTTTTTTCTGTCAAATTTCAAAAATATTAATTTCATAATTAATTTAAAAATTTGGTGGTTTTTAAAAATATCTGAAGACACAATATTGAGAAGATGTCAGGAATTATCACTATTACTACAATATTACAAATGATAAATATTAGATTCTTACAAAGCAATTTATATTTCTCATAGCACTTTTTTTGCACACTTTCTGCTTTATTCTCACTATGGCCATTTTAAGTCGTCAGAGGGTGGGGTATATTATTCTTACTTGACAGTTGTGGCCACCAGGCGTGGAATGAGTCAGTGGAACAGCTATAGATCCAAGCCAATGACTTAGTTGCTCTATCTCACCTTACTAAGCCACCCTTGTAAGGTCATTGAATGGCAGAATTTCAAAACCTCCAGATATGTCTTCCAACCTTCAGACCCCACCCTTCAACAACAAAAGGTGAGTGTTCTCACTCAACAGTGCTTTTGAGAACATTGCTTTTTTCCCATAACCACACTATTTCAAAACTTTGGGTGGTTCCCCATTTCTGAAAGGATTACGTTCACCTTCACAGAATGTACTTTTCAACCTCATCTTCATCTACCTTTCCAATTCATGTCCGGATTCTTCAACACAAATTTTTATTCCAGTCAAGCTGTTGGGTCCATTGCCTCTAGGCAAATACCATAATGATTCCTGTCTTTGCTTATGTTGGTCTGAAAACAGAAGATATCTTCCTTGGACCCATCTCCACTTATCACATCTCAAATCTCAATGAATTCATGGAACCTTATTTACCACCCTCACTCCTGACTGACACTGCCTTCCACTAATAACATCATAGTAGGCCAGTACTGTCTAATAGGAATGTAATGAGAGGCACAAAGGCCAGCCAGTCGAATAATTTAAAAATTTCTGATAGTCACATTAAAAAAATTCAAAATGAATTTTAACAATATATTTACTTAAATGACTATATCTGAGATGCTATCATTTAAATGTTATCAAGAAAAAAATATTTGTTATGTATTTTACATCCTTTTATCATACCGAGTCTTTAAATTATGATGTGTATTGCACACTTATAAACACCTCTCACTTCAAACCAACCACATTTCTAGTGCTTAATACCCACATGGCTACCATATTGGTCAGGTCAGGTCTGGATCACTAATTTTAATATTTTGTGTGAAGTTATACTATAGTTTAAATTGGTGTGTGTGTGTGTGTGTGTGTGTGTGTGTGTGTGTGAAATTTTCCTGGGTGGAGAAAAATGTCTTCCATATCACAGTTTCCCCCATGTCACTAGCATTATAAGAGAACTGAAAGACGTTTAGGCCTTATTCAATCATTTATTCATTCTGCCAACAACTTTGTGTCCTCTGTAAGAAAGTTATTAAAGATGAAGCAACAACCCTGTTGTAAGAATTTCACAGTCACCGTAGGAAAAGAGAGGTGACTAGAAGTCAAAGCTCTCCTAAGCCATGGTGAGCCAACTCTACATTCTTATCACAACACTCTTCTCACATCCCTGGCCACATGACCTCTGACTTCTTGAGCTTTGTCCCTAACTTGGTCATCTGGTTGATCAGGCTACCTGCAGTTCAGTCCAGAAATTTCCCATCTGAAAAGGTGGAGCAGCCATGCAGCTATCACATTCTCTTTACAATATTCTTGGGTCAGAAAAATTCACTAGATACCCAAAGCAGTTACATTGTCATAATAGAAAGAGTCTTAGGAAGGGATGGCATTCATTTTCTGACTGTACCTTGTCTGGAGAGGGAAGGCTGGGGATTCTACCACATAAGGCATTCTGTTAGATAACTTGTAGTTTTTAGAAAGTTTTTTTTTCTTGAGATCAATTTCCCTGTAACTTCTGGAAGTTCCTTTATTTCAATCTTTTGAGATGAGGAAATGAAATGAGCTGATGCCTAGGCCAATCACACTTACCATGGACAAAGCGGAATTAGCATTAGGAATCTTTCGATATTCATTTATGGTTATTTTGCTCTTTGGCAGTCTTCATGTAGCTGATAATGCTATGACATATCTTTTTTTTCCTTATTAATACAATATAGTTAAGGTATAAACCAGTCTGTAACATCTAGGCTCCTGTTTTGCTACTTAGATTTCACTTCTCTTTTAGACCACACTCTATCAAACTTTCCCAATCATCACAAATATTACTCTCCTGAACATTTTTACATTATACAATGATTCATGTCTTCCCTGCCCCCTGCAAAAGGATGGATATGATTTGCACACGGTGGCTAAACATAGAAACTGATTTCTTAATAATCCCCCAACTTCTCTAAAAGCAAAATCACTTTGATTTTAAGTCAACAGTCCAGCGCCTCACACATGCTAGGTGGGTGCTCTACCACCTAGCCACAACCCCAGCCCCAGTTTTCAACTATTTTTAAAACATGTCAGGTACTAAAGTCCAGGCATGTAGAGATCTTAGTCATATGCTTTAGAAGAGACACGTAATCTTGGAAAATAGAAGGGATTCTCGTGTGTTTTACTTTGTGTGTTTAAAAAAAAAAAAGAATAAGAGCATTACTTTGAGGAAAATGAATGTACTGTGAAAAATATCATTGGAGATTAGGTCTACTTAATTGGTTAACTTAAGAAATACTGAATGGTTACTTTAAAATCCAACAATGGTTACTCGAAATTCCTTTCTGGTTTACTTTTCTTTGTAAAATACAGCACTGAAAAAAAAAAAACACAAAAAACAAAAGGAGGCAATTGAAAATTTTGGCAGTTTCATTTTATAACCTTTAGTTCCATTGTTTTTGTTTAAGAATTTGATAATAGGGATTTAGCAATCAAATGTAATGTACTCTAGCAAGAAAGGGAACAAGGAAAGTTGGTGATTATTATCAGAAAATAAGACAGGACTTACCATTAAAACGGCCAGAGCCCCTGTGGTTCTGGGGAAAAGCCAAGCCATAGTTGGTCTCTGATTTCCCTGGTGAGCTAATTCAGGAGATCCACTGTGGCTGTCCTCAGAGCTGTCTGCTTGTGATGTTTGCAAAAGCCCTGTCTCTGCTGTCTGCCCAGGAGTCTACAGGTGGCCTGTTAGGCAGTTCCTCCCCACCCTAACCCAGGGATTGGTCCCAACAGAAACACTTGCATCACTCTTTTCTCCCAGGTAAAAACTCGACACACCTCATTTCCTCCAGCAATGAAATCCTTTGTTGGAAGCTGAAAGAAAAGCTCACAGGCTAAAGACAAAGTTGAACGGGAAGGTACCAGATGAGTGATAATTAATCAGAATGTGGAAGTGTCGCGGCTAGCCCTGACCACCCCGAAGAGAAGTTACGTGACTTTTTGTGGTTACAATTGAAACTGAAAAAACAAAACAAGACATACAAAATTCCCCCAAAATCTGCATGTGGAGAAGTATGTGATTTCAGACTGAGTATGTGTGGGTACATCTAAAATTAAATAGAATATTTTAAGTAATAATGCATTTCACTGAAAACATCTGAAAATACAGGGAAAAATCATGTTAAGCAATTGTTAATGTAGATTCCAAGTAAAGCAATTAGAAATAAAATTGAAGGATCCAATGGTACCATGTATATATGAGATGTAGAAATCATGCACGGCAAAGTCAGATCTCTGATAATACTTAAATGACATCTTTCTCATTGTACTTCTTTTAATTTGTGAATTAAAAACAAACCAACAAGCAAACAAACAAATTGATAGTAAGGTGGGTTATCTTTGTGTTGTTTTAATTATTTTCCCCAGCAGTCAACCTGCCTGTTTCTGCATACGTCTAAGCTCCTCAACTTTTGGACTCTACCCCAATTTAGGGTGGTGGGGCAAAGCTAGTAACATCATTTTTAGTTAGTTTGCTTTTAACTTGGCAGTTAAAATCACTTTTAAAAGTTTCAAAATATCCAAAGAATTTTGGTTGGTAAACGATCAATTTTATCTTTGAAAATGTGTATTGCATCAGGTTTTAGAAGCTTTTTGATTTCAGGGACTCTATTTGGACAGAAAGCCCAGGAGTTGGGAAAACGTCTTGGAGGAAAAATTTAGTTTTTGTTTCTTTTAAACTTTGAAAAAATATACAGCACATAAACTTTATCATTTTTAAGCACAAGTTTGGTGTCGTTAAGAATATTCACATTGCTGTGCAATCAACCATCACCACCATCTGCCTCTAGAAAAGTCTTGTTTTTGAAATAAAGTTTTTGTGGATAAAATGTTATTGGAGCACACCGTGACCATTTATTTTGTTTTGTGAATGGCTGCTGTGGTGCTACAAGACAGAGTAGTTGGACTCAAGACAGTGTGGCCATGCTTCATCCCCAGCTCTTTTTAGTTTGACACAGGGTCTTTTTTAATGGCTTAGAGTCTCATTAAGTTGCTGAGTCTGTTTTTGAACCAGGGATCCTCCTGCCTCAGCCTCTCAAGTCACTGGGATTATAGGTGTGCACCCCTGCAACTGGCCAACGCCATATATTTTAAATAACATTTGTGACAAATGTGTGGGGTGTTGAGTCTAGAAGAAGATGAGTGAATCTTTAAAATCAGTTTCTGCTTAGAAGGAAAACTTCAAGAGATTATGTTTGACATTTATTGTGGAGTTCCCTCCAAATTCCATAAACTTATATTATGCCGTTTTGGATAAAATCAGAAAGTGAACAATGACTGAGTCCTTTCCAAAATGGAAAAGTTGGGGCATGAGACAAAGTTTTGAGAAATTAATAAGTGATTTTTCTGTAACTAGACTAGTGGGCAAATATGAGTGAATGGAAGCTGGGACAAGTATTACTGAATTTATTAATGATTTGTATAATGGGAAACTCAGTAACTAAAATGTTGGTTACCTTTCTGAGTTTAGTGTTTGAATTTGATTAACAGTGAGGAGAGGTTTGGGTGTGTGTGTGTGTGTGTGTGTGTGTGTTTTTCTTGTTGTATAATGAAGAAAAACAGTATGAACAAACTCTAGATGGGACCAACAAAATACACTAGAACTTATTTTTCTAATGAGAGAGTTATGGACATAATATATTTTGTTTATTTTCTTCATTGCATCTTTATATATTTTCTGATTTTGTATTGTAATGAGAACATATTCGTTTTACAATTTAAAAAGTTATTTTGAAATTAATGTGAAGAAAGCAAATCATCACGAATAATATTCTAAACTTTGGAGCAGGGGAAAAGGGGCAAAATTAATAAACTTCTAGTTCTTGCCCATAATATAATATTTTGCAATTCTTTAGAGTATTATTGTGCTAATCACAAAGGACATAGAAAAATAGCAGTGAATTACAATATTTATAGGCCTATAGCAATTGAGTTGCATTGTAGACTAAATTCTAGATATGTCTCACTTTATTCTGATTTATCTTTCCTAAAATTTCATTGTATTGACCAATTTAATGAATGCAGGTTTTAAAAGGATTATCGTTTATTTCCTTACTTGAATAAAAGTTAGAGAACTCATTGGTGTTGCACTTTTGTATTTTGGTATGTACCCTAAAGGTTCTTGGTGAGGTGATACATAGAGGGTATGGGCACCTTCGATAGGAGAGTAATACAGTGTTCTTGGTTTGATGCAGGCTGGTTCACTTACTTGTACCAATCAAAGGGAGGTCATAGAAATCAGTGACGAATCTTATGGAGCACTCCATAGACGAACAGAACTCTCTGTGCTTTTTTATATGTGCCCTTGACATTGGAAGATGGAGACCTCAATAATGTAACAAACCACGTTGGTGTTATGGTCACAGTTGCATGGTACTAAGAAGGTCTTCTGGAGGGAGCGTTTGCACGGTTTTCTGGGCTAAGCAGTGCTTTCTCTTGCCATTTAATTTGTGTTTAGATAAAGGAAAGAAGGGAGGGATTTCCAGTGGCTTCTGCTCGGGTGGTTGTTTTTACTCTCTGGATAATGACTTTGCAAACGAAAGCCCGACTTGAAACTGGCTCTTGTTCAAGAGGCTGAAAATAAAACGAGAATCATAACAATAATACTCATTAAAAGGGAACATCGTTTTATGTGTATGCTATGCTTCAATTAAAGTGCCATATTGAAAGCAGGAGAGTCAGGAAGTAGGCACAACACATCGCACGTTTAAAAAGCTAAAGAAAACTTTTCTTTGCTGAAAATCCAACCATGTCATACTGTGGCATAAGAAGTGAAATAGAGAGAGTGACTATTTATTCAAAGAGGCAGTGTCCTCAGAGGTTTCCATACTGCTTCTAATGCTCATTATCTACAGCAGTTCTCTTGCCCATGAAGTAGATTAATTAAAATTTGGCTTCAGAGGAAAGCCTTCACTGGATTTTGTTTTGCCTGGAAACATGTATGTAATAAATCTTATATGTCACACGTTGCTACTATATGATGTTCGTGCCTTCCTCAAATTCATGAATTGAGATGTTATTACACATATATCTTGAAATGGCCTGCAAAAGTAAGTGATCTGCCACTTCTTGTTTTTCAAGGTAATGGAAATCGTACACCTCTTCCATTAGGATCATCACCTGAAGGAATCCAGACATGTCCGAAATTGTACGTGTGACTGTAGAAAACAATTTGTACTTTAATAATTGGCAAAAGTGGGACGGCTGGCCCAATATCCTTTTAGATGGTATGCAACATCATTCATCATGCTTCTGTGATTCCTGGAATTATTTTTTTTTAAAGATTTGCATGATTTCTATCATATACTTATTCAAATCCAGGCTTCAGAAGGGTAAATATTGATGAATGTACCTTTTTAAACATTTTACTTAAACTGTGAAACAGGGAATTTACCACTCTTTGCTCTGATTTAGTCTGATTCAGCAATTGCTTATTTGTGGGAGTATGAATTATAAATTTTCCAGAGAAAGTTCTTGCTCACTTCAACAAAACGATTCCTGCAGGAAAAGCTTTTCTTTGTTTTTCTGGTTTGTTGGAGGTAAAATGGACAAGGTTGAACCTACTTACAAAAATATATTGAAGCCATGTAGTTGCTTCCTTTTTTGAGCGTCCTCACCAGCTATACTCTCTCATAGAGCTGAGTAGACCTATCTATAACTTTGCCCTTCTTCCTTTCTGGACTCTTGCCCAGGTCACCCCTCATTAGGCTGCCTGAGTGCTATTCTTAGAAAGATCATGGCTTTCAGTCTACGTGGAACAAAATTGAAACTATAAACCAGCATGGTTTATAGGAAACTGCCTGAACCAGGCCTTATTTTTCTTACCAAATATATCACACAATCCCTCCTCCCTTCAAAATGTCCGCTTTTCAGGTTTCTAAACCCATAAGTTCTACTTCACGTTTTCATTCCGTTCCTCTCCTCACTGGCTGACTTCTCATTCAACAGCTGACAGCTAATGGCAGCTTTTCCCAGAGGTCTTTCCTTGCTATTTCTAAAATTTGTGCACCCTCTTTCCTTTTTTTTTTTTTAAATCATTCATCCCAATTTCTTTCCTGTACAGAGCTTTGCACACATGGCATAATTTGTTATTTTCTTATGATGCTTTTTCTCCACCATCATACTGTGAGGTTTATTGGGAGAAATCAGGCCTATTTAACTTATTAGAATAGTTTCAGGACTTTGGAGAATAAATACATGAAAATATCTTTATGAAATCTGTGCAAGTATAGTTGCTGGGTCAAAGGGAAGATATAGTTCAAAATTTTAATAGATGTCATTCAAGGTCTATAGTCCCAATTTATATTCCTATTGATAATATAGGAGAGTGCCAGTTCCTCTTCTTGGTCCTCTTCCTCATAAAATGGATCACTGGTAATTATTTTCTGAATATGTTATGAGAAAAGAGTATTTTTATGAAAAAATATATTTTAGCATTATTAAGAGATATAAATGTGAAGAAGCTTTTTAGTTTGAGTCCATCCCATTTATTGATTGTTGTATTTACTTCTTGCACTTTAGGAGTCTTGTTAAGGAAATCAGTTCCTAAGCTGACATAGTGGAGATTAGGGCCTACTTTTCTTCTAGGCTTAGAGTCTCTGTTCTAGTGTCTAAGTCTTTGATCCACTTTGAGTTGATTTTTGTACAGGGTGATAGAAATGGGTTTAATTTCATTTTGCTAGATAACGAATTTCCAGTTTTCCCAGCATCATTTTTTGAAGAGGCTATCTTTCTCCAATATGTGCTGGTATTGGATGGAATTGGAGAATATTATGCTAAGCAAAATAAGTGAGTCCC